AGAGATAAACAGCAGTCAGTTGTTCCAAGTACACAAAAGCAGAAGGGTGGAGAGGAGGGGGGAGAGAAAGGGCAGGAGAAACAGGAATAGAGGAAGTGGGGAGGGGAGAGGGGTCAGACAGAGAGAGAAGCTGTTTTCCCTCAGAGACTTGGAAATTGCATTTAAAAAAAAAAAATGTCAGAAAGAGATCATTCTGTGCAACAACAATCCAGGAGAGAAAAAAAGAAAAGAAAGTCACCAAGTTGAATTGTTTACCAGACTAAAAAGGAAAAGAATTTCTGTCAGATCTAGCCATAAAAGGACTAGCTGAGAAACACTGAAGCACAAAAATTAATACCATCTTAAACTAAGGGAAGAAAGTAAAGATGCCTCCTTTCACTTTTAATTTTAGTGCTTAACACTAAAATTTATTTTTAAAGCTCCAAGGTTAGTTAGCCAGGCATAGTCGAGGCTGCAGTGAGTGAGCTCTATCTTGCCACTGCTCTTCAGGCTGGGTGACAGAGTGAGACCCCAACTCACAAAACAAAACAAAATGAACTCCAAGGTTAACAAGATCATGAAAAGAATTAAAACAAAGAGATTAAATTCAAGGAGACTTGTTCCATATCTGAATTCTCCCCTGTAGCCACCTGGCTATGATATCTGTATCGGTCTTCTTCAAAACTGACTAAGCACATAAAGCTACCTGGGATCTTGTGAAAACACAGATCCTGATTCTACAGGTTGGGGATGAGGAAGAGATTTTGCATCTCTAGCAAGCTCCGTGTGTTGCCCATGCTATAGGCCAACAGATTACACTTTAAGCAACAGGAATTTAGACCACCCACTCATTGCCAAAAGTTTTCTTTTACAGAATATAGAAGTAAAAAAATAATTAACCTTTACCTATGTCTCTAAAATTTTTTTGTTGTTTATCGAGTGAATATTAATACCGCCCATAAAGCTGGGTACAGAAAAAACATGTCCCCAGCCTTCCCCCAACCTGTGGAGAAGGAGAAGATTATGGGAACCAGAAACTGTGGCATCTCTCCCCTCCAGTCTGGGCCAGGTGTGCCCCCATGCCAACTGCTTTGCTAATACCAGCAAGTCAGTATTGTGCTATCCCTTCAGTAGGTATGGCCTGCACAGAGAATCCTTTCCCCTATCCTCTAAGGCTTCACATTTACAGAGGGCAGGTTGGGGTTTCTGCTCTTTCACCCTCTCTGGTCACAGTTTCTCCCTCCTCCACCTAATTTGATCCAGTGACATATCCCAAGGAACAAACATTTCCAGTCTAAGATAGGGCAACTCCTACAAAGTCCCACTTTGGGGTAGCTCAGTTATGTCCCCTCAGTGGAAACAGAAAGGGTAGAGCCCCAGGGCAAAGAAGCAAGACCCTGCTCCAAGGGAGAGAGGACACATGAGGAACGGGGAATGTCAGCACCCCAAGATCTTTATGATAGGATAACTAACTGAGACATCATTGGCTCCTGCTTCCCAAGTATTTCCTCTTCCTCTTTTTGACCACACAGCTGGACCCTTGATAGAAAGACATTGCAGAAGTATGTTGTGGCCTCTGTCAGTTTTAGCTAAAATCTAAAGCTGAACACCAAAAGCTGCTCTCTGCCTTGTTAGCATCTGAAAGAGATTACACTAAAGCCTGTGAGATTTACTAGAAATTGTTCTAGATGTGATTGTGCTAGAAATGCCTGTGATTATAGAGATTATACTACAGATTTTGTGAAGACAGAAGGGGGTGGTGTGCCTCCTAAGGCAGCACGTGGGGGCGGGGAGATGTCCTAGAGAACAAGGAAGGTCAGATGTGGTGGGAGAGGACAGGGCAGCAGAATTGGGCAATGTTGTAAAATGGTTGCCTGAGGTTGTGATGAGACTTCAGAGTGATGGCTATGTTATGGGCCCAGAACGCCAGCCCCGGGGAGGTGCAGCTCTCAGCCTTGGCAAAAGCAGGTGGGGTCCCAAACCATCAGGGAGACCCCTTTGTGGGGAACCTGGGGGCTGCACAAGGGGCTTCTCAACACTAAACAGGGAAGAGACTTTGAGAAGGAGATGCTGAAGATATACCCTGAGCCCAATCTCAGGCTATCCCCCAACTCCCAGTGCATAAGTTTGCTAGGGCTGCTGTAACAATATACCACAGACTAGGGCTTAAGCAACAGAAACGTATTTTCTCATAGTTCTGGAGACTAGAAGTCTGAGATTAAGGTGTTGGTAGGATTCTTCTGAGGCCTCTTTCCTTGATTTGTGGATAGTTGTCTTGCCTCTGTGCCTGTGTTCTAATTGGCTCTTCTTATAAAGATGACAGGCATATTGGTTAGGAACCACCCTAATGACCTCATTTTAACTTAAAATTATAACTTAAAATGAGGTCATTAAAGACCCTATCTTCAAATATAGTCACATTTTGAACAACGAGGGGTTAGAACTTCAACATACAAATTTGCAGGGGACACAATTTAACCCCTAATGCCTGCCACCTCCACCTTACCCCAAAGAGTAGAATGGTACTCACTCCAACTTCGAGGACTCTGGTACTCATCAGGTCCTGAGGACTATTCCTATCTCATGCTGCAGTGTAGACTGGGATCTTTGTAGACGGAGTCCTGAGTATAAATATTTTTAACAACTAAGAGACCTCCCTGTCCAACTTTGGCCACAGTTCCTTGGGATCAGGCTGGTGAATGGGCAAGTAACTCAACCCTGTACAATGTGCCCATGAGCACTGAGGTGTGGGCAGCCCTGACCACTTTAAGTTCATGCCCCAAAAGTAACATCAGGGTACCCTTTCTCTGAGTGTCTGCCTCTTTATATCCCCCTTCTTGTGTTCGTCATCTTCCTACAGTTATTCAGGAAGCATAAGCACAACACCTTCCTGCCTGAGCAGCACTAGTTTGGCAATCAAGCAATGGTCTTTCTTTGAAGTCTAGGGTTTAGCCTTGCCTCCTAACCAGATTGTAAACTTCTTGATGTCAGAATCCAGGTCTTAAGTCTGTGTGTATCACAGTCCTGCACACAGCAGGACAGAGTAGTCAGGAAGAATGAAGGGTCTGTGGTCTAACCCTATATGTAGGTCAAGTAAGCCTGCCACTGGTTCATGGATACTGGTAGAAGTCACAAAACCCCTGAGTCATCACAAAGAACAATGTATTATGTACACCAGTAGCAGTGGCCAGAGCAGCAGCATTTTGCATGGGTTCCACGAGATCAGTTCCCACAGGAAATGCAAAGAGGCATTGCAGGCGACGCCAGCACACACAGTAGGTTGGGTTCCAGAAGATAAATTCTGAGCTTAGTGAACCTGATTCTTTTATAATAAGCATTCCTGTTCATTGCGCTAGAAGCCACCATTCTCCAAGGCTGCACTAGGAGGTACAAACATCTTTGAAAAAACAGCCTGGAACAAAGGTAGTCAGTGTCATTGCCACCGCTTGCAAGATGTGTAGAAACATGAAAGACCCGGAGGGAGACAGCAATCAACAGTTGCTGATGAGTTCAGCTTTCCCTGAAGCCTGCCTAAGAAGGGCTTCTAAAGGCTTTTCCCTGATAATGGGTCTCTGAGATTAGCCATCTCAACCTAGACTGGTGTCTGGCTCAACTATATTTACATTTGCCTGTTTAGCAGAGAATGAGAGGCTGCCATTATTCTATTGCTGGAGTAAAATAAATACTGAGGTTCTAAATTCCTCTGAGACTCTAATTTCTCCCTTTTGGGGGGTTTAGGCATAGGGACTGCAATGGTTCTGAGCCAGAGTTTTTCTGACTGGTGATTTTTGGGCTCTAGACTCTAGGAGATAAGAAACCAATTGGTTTTACACCTACTACTCATCCAAGGTTGACTTCTCTAGGGAAGGATTCTGGAGCACTCCACACCTCTCAACCACCAAAGAGAACTACCCACTCCCTCTTACTATTATCTCCTACATTAGAGTTCAGTAAACTTTTTTTGTTATTAGCCCAACAGTAAATGGTTTATGCTTTGTGGACCATTCAGTCTCTGTTAGGACTACTCAGTTCTGCCCTTGTAGCACAAAAATTGCCACAGTGAACAAATGGGTATGGTTCGGCTTCAATAAAACTTTATTTACAAAAACAGGTAGCAGACTGGATCTGCCCTTCAGGCTGTAATTTGCTGACTCCTGTCCACACTCTGAATGTACTTCTGTCTCACAGATTTATTTACAAATCTTTGTGTGAAGAATAGGCTGGTGAGAGGCTGTGGAGAGAGTAACACCATCCTCCTCACAGGTTCTTCACTCTAAAACTCTCGTGCATGGAGCCAGTTTCTCACAGCAGCAGCTCTGCACCCATTCAGCACAGCTTCCTGCCGAGGGTTAAGGTGGGGGCTGGAATCAGTCCCCTGTGGGACTGCTAAGTCATAAAACCCACCTCATGGAGATTTCATAAAGCCCCAGCCTGCTTTCCTGCCCTTCAAAAATGCTTACATCTGCATATTTATATTATGTATTCATGTATAAAGAAAATGAAAAAAGTAAAAATCAAATTGACCAGATCTTGTTCCACATACCACATAGTTCTGTAAAGTTTACAGGTCAAAGTTGTAGCTGCTTAGACAATCCTAATAAGTAGATTCTTTTTTTTAATTGAAGCCTCCCTCTGTTGTCTAGGCTGGAGTGCAGTGGTATGATGACTACAAGCCTTGACCTCCTGGACTCAGGCGATCCTTCTGCCTCAGCCTCTCAAGTAGCTGGGACTATGGACATGTGCCATCACTCCCGGCTAATTTTTAAATTTTTGTAGAGATGAGGTCTCGTTGTGTTGCTTAGACTGGTCTTGAACTCCTGGGCTCAAGCAATCCTCCTATATTGGCCTCATAACATTCTGTGATTACAGGCATGAGCCTCCATGCCTGGTCAGTAGGTAAAAAGATTCTAAGCACACTACAGTCACTTTCACTTTACATCAAATTGATAAAAATCATAAAAAGGAGTTTTGCCACTTGGGATGTAGAGCAGAATATAATTAAATTTAGTCTTACTAGGACCTTATTTCCATAGGATAAACCAACTCTCATTTAATGCCATACTAATCAACACAAAGAAAGATCTTTCACCGCACATGGGGTGTATAAGCAAAGGGAAACCAGCATCTTTCTGGGCAAAGCTTTTCCTGGATGCTTTAATCAGCATTGGGGAAAATGTGACAATGCTCAAGTTCATGGACTTGAGAACTCTGGGGTGGGAACAGTGTATATGAATGGTGGGGGGAGAAGGAAGGAGGAGGGGCTGGACAGTGCCACTGGGGAGGCAGGTGTGAGGAGAGGGGCTGTGAGGGCCCTGGGATGCCTTGGACAGGGACATGCAAGAGCCCAGGTGGAAGTCTTTGGTGGCTCACAGGACGATGGCAGCTGGGGTCTTCTCCTTAGAGGGGGAAGGGGGCACTGAATTTGCCCCTAACAGCTTTTTCTCTGATTCTTCCTCATCCTGTGGGGGGGAAAAAAATCAATCCTTGGGGGGAAAAAGGGATGCAGATAGAGTTAGTTTCATAGAACTTGATAACCAGGAAGAGGGAAGAAGAATGGGGGGGAAAGGCCACAGGAAATAGGGATCAAGCAAAAAAGATAAGGTGGCAGAGGAAGGGGTGTCAATAAATACCTGAGACAGAATGGAGAGAAAAGTGGGGAAATCAGAGTAGAGGAGAGTGGGGAGAGGCCCAGGGTAGCAGAAGTTGGCCCAGGACACAGTGACCAAGTCACATTCCCCAGACAGTAAAGAGAAGAGCCACGTATGGAAGGAAGCAGTGTGAGGCGCAGCCTGGCCTTGGATAAGGGAGCCCCTGGCCCCGATGCTCCTCCCAGCGCCCTCGCTCTCACCACCCAGACCCAAGCTGTCTAGAGGCACCTCCCTGACAACTCACCAGGGACTGGGAGTCCTGACTACACAAGCTTCGAAGACCCACTCCCAGGGAAGCCAAGGACACAATGACCTTCAAGACACAGACGGCCAGGAGCAGGACACGGAATGCTAGGAACAAGTTCTGGAGATAAAAGAAGAAAAAAAGATAGTCACAAATCAGCTGCTCCAATTCTGCCCTTCAACCCACGCACACACAGACTCTGTCCAGCTAGCTACTCCCCACCAAAGCAGACTGCGTTTTCCCACTGCAGTTTCCATCCCACTGGTTTGTCTGCAGTGTGACCCTGCCACTGCCCATCGAGAAGTGGAGTCTATCTCTCCAGTCTCTAGAATCCAGGAGAGCATGTAATTACTTGGGCCACAGTAAAAGTGACACTATATAGGGGTAGGGATAACCCCTTATGGGCCTGGCAGTTTCCACTCCCTGTCTCTTGAAATGCCCATAGTTGAGGTGTTCCCCCACTGGAACCTAGCTGCTGTGCTATGAGAAGCCCAGGCCATGGGAGAAGCCACTGTAGGCTCTCCAGCTGATAGCCCCAGCTGAGCTCCCGGCCATGTGAGAGCGTCATCCTGGACATCAAGCCCAGCTGAGTACTTGGATGACCTCACCCCAACTGACATCTGAGTGCAACTGCATGAGAAAACTCATGAGTGAAAACTGCCCATCTGAGTCCAGTCAACTCACAGAACTGCGAGAAATAAGAAATTACAGTTTTAAGCCACTACATTTTGGGCTGATTTTTAATTCAGCAAGAACACCTACACACCACAAAAGATGGAAGGATGGCCCACAATCTCCTCTCTGAAATGTCTTCTTTTTGCTCCTCATCCCCTTTGATTCAGAGAATCTTCATGTCATGAGGGTCTGAGAAATATCTTCAACTTAAATTAAAACCTCCTGAACCTGGCTGGGTATGGTGGCTCATGCCTGTAAACCCAGCACTTTGGGAGGCAGAGGCAAGAGGATTGAACAGGCCCACGGTTCGAGACCAGCCAACTTGACAAGACAGTAAATAAAAAAAATTAGCTGGGCGTGGTGGCACATGCCTGTGGTTCCAACTACTTGGAAGGCTGAAATGGAAGGATCACCTGAGCCCAGCAGGTTCAGGTGCAGTGGCCATGAGCGTACCATTGCACTCCAGCCTGGGTGACAGTAAGACTCTGACTCAAAAACAACAACAAAAACAAAAAACTCCTGAACCAAAGACCCAGGATGAAGTCCAAGTTCAAAGAGCCTACACATCTGTCCTCCAGTGTCCCCAACTCCTTGAGAGCAAAGGGTTATAATGGGGTCCCTGGAAGACTAGACTTCATTCTCACCTGCAGCATTTTCACGTAGAATCTGCACTCCTTCTCCCTCCAGTCATCACTTCTTCCGTGCATCCATCTGTAGTCAGTGGTGACAAACATAGGGTCTGGGCGATCACACACAGTGTCAGACAAGCCATCAGTGTGCCAGACTAAGCTGTTCACACAGAGGACGACAGCAGCCACAGCCGTAGCAATGCCAGCCAGGGTGAGCAGGCTGGATACACAGCCCTAAAAGAAAGAGAATCAGGACACAAACCCCCTCTATCAATGGAGAAGGCCATGAGGTCCCCACCTCGAACCCATCTCCTCTTTTCCAGTACCTGTCCAGGAAACCCTCCCCGCCCCTCTAAGAAAGACCCCAGGATATTGGCAACAAAAGTGTAGAAAGCAAAAAACAGAGCTGAAAAACTCAGGATTGAACAAGGTTGGGGAGAGAGGATGCCCAAGACTCACTGAAAGTTTGCCCGGGCACTTCTCATGGACGATGGCTCCGACTCCTGCTGCAATCACCTAGGAAAAGAAGATGCCAGAAAAAGGCCTTCAATTTACTCTCCTGAATTGGTCTTCCATCACCCTTCCACCAACAGATCCCAGAACAGACAATTCAAAGCAGAATCCAAGGCACAAAGACACCAAGCATATGAATAGAACTCCAGTTACAACTGTTCCAATCTTGCCTTAAAGAGAAAAAAATGGAAGTGGCAGGGTTTTACCCACCCCTTAAGGCAGCTTCTTCCTGGCAAAGGACATTTGGGCCCAGGGTCTTTGGTTGCATCCCCAAATCCCAGACCCGGATCCAAAGGAACATTCTCCTTGCCCATAACCTCTTGCCTCCCACCAAGCTCACAGCCTGTTTCATACTCACCACAGAACCTGCCCAGAAGGCACAGCCTGAGCCACGCAGCTGGATCCAGGGCCCAAAGTAGAGACATACTCCAAGAGCACAGCTCACAACCCCCAGTAATATCTGAGTCACCTGCAAGACAGGATGACAAACAAGACCCTTTCCATGAGCCCACACACCCCAAGTACCCTGGGAGTAGGTACCCAGCTCCTACCTAGGTGACTTTCATCTCCTTTTCCTCTGCCTTAACCCCTTTGCAGCTCTGACTCGGTTCTGTTCCCTTAACATCCATGAAGCAGCATTGGTCTGGGTCACTCCTCATCCCTCTCATTGGCTCGGCTGTTTATCCTTCCTTCCTTTTCCCCAACTTCAACACTTTCTCATCCCACTTTCCTCTCATTCTCCCTTGGAAGTTCCATCATCTCATCCAAACCCTCAGCCTGACCTCAGCTTCTGGCCCTAATCTTTCTCTTCAGAGTCAAACACATACTTTTGAGGGCTCTGTGGCCAGCACAAAGATGTGCTTCTAAGATCCCCTTCAAGAAAGAGGTGTCACTGCTAACAGTCAACAGTTGTCACCTCCTTCAGGATTACCCTCATTCTTCAAGCTGAGGATGCACTCTTTAGGGATGACCTCTCAGCCAATGACTAAGCAAGGTAGTAGTTCGAGGGCCATTTCCACCATGTGGAACTCCTGCTAAGGGTAGCCTTTGCCAGGGAGCTCCCCATTGGGCTGACAGTCTATATTGCAGCTTGAAGACTCCCCTTGGCCAATCCTGCTCCCTTTCTTTCATTCCACAGGTGTTATATCTCAATAAACCATTTACACACCTAATTCCAACTCACCCTCTGCTTCCTGGAGAACCTAAATACCACCACCTGCATGTCCTGCCAGAATCTCAGAGTTGTTGTCATATCCAATTCCATACCTCACACACCTCCAGTGTCTGCCCCTCCTGACTGTCAGGGATCCAATTGCCTGGTCACCCACACTTCAAACCCCTGCACGTTTTTGGATTCGTCTCTTCCCTTATACCCCAAGCCCATTCACTCCCAAGCCATGGAGACTCTTTCATAAAATCTGGACTCCCTTTTACCCCAAAATTTATGCTATGATTATGCAAGTGCAGACCCTTAATACTTCTCACCTGGCCACCTCCTGACTCCAAGGAATCTTAAAGCTCAGGTTCCTGCTCAGATCCATCTACAGCCTTCCCACTGTTGAAGCTTATTCAGGGAACAATTCTTACCTTGTTTTTCAAGGCTCTTGGCAATACGGCCCCTAATCAATCATGAATTCTGTTCATGAATTCCATTCTCTTTACTCTTTACTATTATAGAACTTTCTCTATACATTCTGGCCTCTTTGCCTTTGCTCCTACCATTCCTTAACCCAGAATGCCTTTTCCTCCATCTTCCACCTCTGTCTAAACTCGTTCCTTCTTCAGGGTCCTCCTGCCCCCAAAGATGTCAGGTGTACTTCTTGTTTCTCACCTCACCTGATCTACTTTTAATTCCAGTCATTTGTTGGCAGGGTGAAATGGCTCACACCTGTAATCCAGCCCTTTGGGAGGCTGAGGCTGGAAGATTGCTTGAGCCCAGGAGTTCAAGACTAACCTGGGCGACACAGCAAAATCTCACTCCTACAAAAAGTTAGCCGGGCATGGTGGTGTGCACCTGTAGTCCCAGCTACTCAGCAGACTGAGGTGGAAGGATTGCCTGAGCCCAGGAGGTCAAGGCTGTGGTAAGTTGTGATCATGCCACTGCACTCCAGCTCAGGTGACAAAGTGAGACTACAAATCAAAAAAAAAGGAGAAAAAAAATCTAGTCATTTGTGTAGCTGCCTGATTCCTCCTGATGGATGCTGACCACTTTTAGGCTATAGCCTAGGGATTCTTTCTGTAGTCCTGTCTGAAGTGCTGAGCCTATTGCTTTGTACTTGCAGGCCCCCAATCCAAGTGGCTTCAATGAAACTGAATTAACAGCCTCCAGAGAGTCTTCTTCCCGTTGCTCTGCCACTGAACAAGAGAGACCCATCTATACCAAAGAAGAGGATAATTATTCCTTTCCATCCAAATCTCTGTGGGGAAACTTCCAAAACTTCCTATACACAATGAGATATAAATAGTGAATTGTCCTGTCTCTCTCATGAGAATTCATCCCATTTTCCTTTTTTGCATCCTACTGAAGAAGGACAGTTTCCATTGTGAAAGTTGGTCGTACAAATTGGGTCATTCTTGTCACACCCAACTAAAACAGAGTCCAGAGGCCAGGGCCCAAAAGCACTCAGTACAAATATTGCTCCAAAAATGTAATTCTCTGCAAGCCTGGCTGCTGAAACTGCCTGCTGTAAACTGAAACCAGTTGTATCTAATGACTACTGAGATAACCCGCTGCAACTCTAAGACTATTTTTACACATGCTGTCACTCACCTATCAGTGCCAAAACCTTACTAGTGCCAATGAACTTTCTTAAAGAGCGGTATGCAGCATCTCTCCTTTTTATAAACCTGTAAACTTCTCTTCGTTCTAAAGACGTACCAAAAGACCAATGGGTCTGTGTGTATGCACCAAACTATAATTCCTTCCTCTCAAACAAAACATTTTCATTTCAGTTATTCAACCATTTATTTCAATTAACTTTGTAACCTCATTAACCGGCTCTGCCAGCCCACTCTTACCCCTAGAGCCAGCATCTCATAATTCATCCTGCCAGGCTCCCCACGGCGAGAAAGAAACTGCTTCAGGGAACCCCCAACTTTCAGCAGTGGTGCCAAAGCTGATTCCTGGTGAATGTGGATGTTGATGTGGGTGGGCAGGGTTGGTATAGAGGCCACAGTGACTCCATTCATGGTCACCATGTTTTGGGTCATCCTGCCTGCCAGGGAGAAAATGCAAAGAAGTGAAGTCTGGGAACTAGGTAAGATAAAAAGTATACACAGCTTAGGTAAGGGGAGAGAAAACAATCTCTCTGCCAAGAGCCAAAAGGTCTTCCTGATACAGATATTAATTTTATGGTGAACTTTAGTATATATATCTACACATATAATACTTTCTAATATTTAAAAAATAATTCAGCCGGGCTCGGTGGCTCAGCCTGTAATCCCGCGTCTTTGGGAGGCTGAGGTGAGTGGATTGCTGC